CCTGCCCCTTCCCTGTTCCCCCTTTTTCAAGTTCTTGCATGTCATCAAATGTGAATACTTTGCGAATGATGATTGTGTGTGCCACTGTCATCTATTCCCTGATTAATTTTGTGAAAACTGTGGGGACTTTTGCAGACACAGTCATCCAATCTTGGCTGTGCATTCTTTGAAGGGAGTAACGAGATCTGATCATGCACAACGTATGAGTGTGAGCGAATGCCGTGAGGTGAGTGCACAGGACCCTTGACCCGTTGTGACCCCAATTTCACCTCAATAAGACACTAGTTTAAAACAGTTGTAACCCATTTTAACCCTAACTTCCCCCCATTTTAAAACCCATTTTGACCCCAATTCAACTCTACTTCATGGCTATGCTGGACCTGGACACCGGACCAACCCAGACGTTCGGCCGGACCTCGTGTGGACTGCTCCAGAATTGGACCGTCCAGATTGATCTGCCCCCGCTGTGAGTGTCTTGCATCCGATGCACTATTTTAAAGAATTAGTTCTTCCGAGTGCTGGTTCTACGCTTCATGCAATGTCTGATGAACAAGATACGCGTAAAATGGGAGGATTAGCTTGTTTGCTGCCCTGTATGTCACAAGTGCTGTACGTATGCTGTTATTATTTTTTCGTTGGATGTGGCTACGAATTTTGAAATGATCATTAGCCAAAATATTTTTTTCTATTGCTTTGCCGGGCAACATGTCCTCTTTTCATATTTTATTGATTTTCTTTTTAAGTTTTTGGGGGGAATGGATGGGTGGGCAGATCCAGATGTGCCGGATGAGGCAGTGGAACAGCGTGTCCGGATCGTAGCCATTCTCCAATTTGACTCCAATTTAACTCTAATCTCTTCCCAATTTAGCCCCTAGTTTGACACCAATTTAACCCCATTCAGGAACTACTTTGACCCCAGTTTAACCCTAATTTAAGCCTTATTGAACCCCAATTTTAACTTTAAATTTCCCTAATTTAATGCCAATTTTAACTTTCAATTTGACCCCAATTAACCTTAATGTGAGCCCAATTTTTATCATAATTTGACCTCAATTTAACCACCCTAATGTAATTCCAATTTAACCCTAAATTTAACCCCAATCGACTATTGTTAAGCATGATCTCTCTCTCTCTCTCTTTCTCTCTCTCTCTCTCTCTCTCTCTCTCTCTCTCTCTCTCTCTCTCTCTGTCTCTCTCTCTCTCTCTCTCTCTCTCAATTTAACCACCCTAATGTAAGTCCAATTTTAACCCTAAATTTAACCCCAATCAGCTATTGTTAAGCATGATCTCTCTCTCTCTCTCTCTTTCTCTCTCTCTCTCTCTGTGTGTGTGTGTGTGTAAATTGTCACTGCAACAGCCCCTTGTTCACCAAGAGTAGTAGATCCAAATCGAAGCATTTTTAGTAATTTTTACCTCTATAGCAGACAATGAAGCACACTAAAGACAAACAAATCCGCCATTGAAACAGTCTTTACCTCTATAGCAAACAACATGAAGCACAATAAATCCGTTATGTTGCCTTGTACAACCCTTTCTTCGCTATCTTTACTTTGGCTTCCTTTTTGGTTCCCCTTTTATTCCTTTTCATTGAGCCTCTCTGCTCGTCACCTTGAGCGCACACACACAATGAGAGATCACAGGAAGTCCACACTGGAGACCAGAGATGCAAAGCCCAGAATAAGCGCAGCTTAGAAATTCCAACAAATTATTATCATATTAAGCAGTTTTTTTTCAGAGTTCCAGTCACCAGCGCTCATCAGCGCAGAGTTCAGCAACCCAATTCCAGCAATCCTCATCCAAGGTAGGTGACTCTCTTCTCTCTCTGTCCCCCTCTGTCTCTCTCTCGGCCTTCTTCATGCATGTGCTCACTCTCTCTCTACTCTCTCTCTACTCTCTCTCTCCCTACTTGAAGAACTCGACTCTGAATACATCCCCTATCATCTGACTCTATCTCCTACTACTAGCTATGCGGTGATGGCCGCATTCCTTCCTCGATGCAGCGCTGCCCAGCAGGGTTCTCGCGCATGCTACTCGCAGAAAGCGCACAAGCACTTCAGCAGCACTTCCACACTTCTCACGAATGAGCAACCGCCCTGAAATGTGGCTGGCCAGTCCTTATATTGACTTGGACTGAGCCTCAACCCAGCCTCTGCTTCCTTTGGCTCGACTTGGACCTGCCTGGTACCACATGCCCACGACCTGCTTGCTTCAGAATGACAAGGCGTGGTAGTTTCCCGAATTTTCATTGGTGTGCTGCTGCTTAGGTCTGTGCGTCACGGCTTTTCACCTGTGGAACATGACTTTTGACTGTGGGATGTGACTCTTGCCTCTGGGACACGACTTTTGCCTGGAGAACTGTCCTTTGCCTGTGGGATATGACTTTTCAATATGAGACGTGACTTTTGC